ACTACCCTCCCAATCAACTACCCTCCCAATCAACTATCCCCTCATAAACTACCCCCAATCAACTAGCCCCAATCAACTACCCCCAATCAACTACCCCCAATCACCACAGTTCGTTTCCTGTGCAGTTTGCCGAAAAAATCGAGAAGAAAATATAGCCCAGTTAATGACTGCTTCACATATGGTATTTTTTATCCTTTCCGATTATCGCGAGTAATCGAAAAAAAAAATGCCACCTCAACAAAAGCCGTTGCTTTTCTTGACGAGTGGAGCGGATTTTGTCGTTGGTGCGCGAGAGAGTTCGTTGTAAGAATCTGAGTTGGATTTTATTTCGCCTCTTGGACGTTTGACGTTCGAATTGGGATTTCTGATTTCTATACAACTCATCATTCCGCCATTTTGGATTTGTAAGACTGGATTTGGACTTTTCACCGCCCTTGGGACGTTTAACAGATATTATCATACTTTCCTTTCCATCCTCTATTAAGACACTTCCCAGATATTTAAATTTGTGTACTTACTTAATTTTGGTGTCTCCATTTGTAATTTACATATTGGACTCCTTCTTTTGCTGTTCCAAAAACTAAGAAGAGAATTAAGAAACAGAAACATTTCGTTAGAAACCAAGAAAAGAGTACTGAACTGTCATGTGATATCAGTCCTCCAATGCATGCTGGACAATCTCCTCACAGATGAAGAAGAGACATGATGCAACAGAAATGTGCTTATACAGAAGGATGGTGAGGATACTATGGACAGAACGTGTGAGCAACCATTTTTAGAGAAAATGGAAACACAATGGAAACATATACTTAACATCAGGAAGAGACAGTTGAAATTACTAGGACACTTAACGAGGAAAGAGGGCTTAGAAAATCTGATACTCACAGGACAGGTTGAGACGGAGGAAAACAACGCATTACATAGTGAACTTGAATAAAGTGATGGCAAACAAGGTTTAGGAGAAATAAAAGATAAAATTTATCAAGAGCTACAAAGGACAGGAAATTGTGGAGAGCCATTGATGTCAACGTCATGAATGGACACGGCACATAAGAGAAGAAGAATGAGCTTGAGTAAATGGATGGCGGAACAAGGTTTAGGAGAAATAAGAAAAAGATAAAATTTATTAAGAGCTACAAAGGAAAGGAAATTGTGGAGAGCCATGATCGCCAACGTCCTGACGGGACACGGCACATAAAGAAGTAGTTCTAGAACAAGGCGCTTGGCATCGCAGTGATAAGAAGAGTAAATAAATTAAATTGAACAACTTTTACGAAATACAAAGATTACAATTACGCGTATTTCTTTGGTTGTAGACATAAATAATTTTTTCGGAGATTCACTGATGGCAAATAGTATCTCAATTTTATATCTTGTATTTCACATATAAAAGATATCTTGTATCTCCATGTAATATTATTAATTTGATACAACTTTTTGTTTATTCTTTAGTTTCTTGCATAACATATAAACATTAATTGTTTACTCTTTGTTTTACAGCTTTGCTAATGTATAGTGAAAAAGTTGTAATGAGAGCCGTTTTACGCGACCTGAGAAGAAAAGGATTGAGTGCATGGTCAGCGACAAAAAAAAAAAAAAAAAAAAAAAAAATAATGGTGTGGAAGGCCCAGGAACTGTAAACGAACGTGTGGCACAAAACTGGTTCAGACGTTTCAAGGAAGATGACACCAGTCTATAAGACAAATTTAAGTCAGGAAGACCTGTTGTGGAAGATGAGGCCTTACTTGAAATGGTTGAGCAAGTGCCAAGCACATTCACTCAAAAATTGCTGTCATAACTTCAAAAGCACCACCAATTGACATCTCTATAAGCCCTGCTTTGCGAACAGACGCCGTCCGAGAAGTTCCTCGCAAACTAGCCAATGACCAGGGTCAACGACATGTAAGCATTTGCAAAAAAAAAAAAAAAAAATCCTTAAGATTCACATTTTGGGGGGTGAAAAATGGATCTATTTTCGTAAGATAAATCAGTGTCTTCGTTCCGGCCAGGTTTCAAAACAAAGTTTTGAACAGAAGGTCACGTTATGTGTCTGGTGGAATTTGAGCTTGTTCCAGATGATCCTGCTGTGAACGCTGACCTTCAACAACTGCAGCGTGTATATGATGCTTTGAAAGCCCAACAACCCAGCATTGATCAATGGAAGACGCACACTCCTATAGCAGTGCCCCAGCACAAGCTGCCAATGTCACTGAGCGCAAACTTGAGGCGCTGGAAGTGCTGAATGAAATCGGACCTCACGCCATCAATTTACCTCCTCTTTCGAGCCATGGCTCCTTTCCTGAACGGACGGAGGTTGAACAATGGTGGTGTTTAGAGGGGGTGGTGCACTTTGAACGTGTATCAGATGACCATGCAGTGAACGCTAACCTTTAGGCGAAGCAACTGCAGTGAGTCGATGATGCTTTAAATGTCCAGTACACGGCAGTTGCTAATCGAAGTTGCGCACTCTTACGGCAGGACAATGCCCCAGGCCACGCTGCTAAGCGGAAACTTGAGTGACTTCAGGTGCTGCAAGTGCAACCTACAGTTCAGACCTCTCACCATCAAATTACCACCTCTTTCGAGCCATGGCTCATTTCCTGAGCGGACGAAGGTTCAACAATGTAGATGAGGTTGAAAACGGGTGCTGAGTGCTTGTTCCAGATGATCCTGCTGTGAATGCTGACCTTCTTGTTCAACAACTGCAACAGGTATATGATGCTTTGAAGGCCCCACTACCCGGCATTGGTTAGTCGAAGACGCGCATGACAGTGCCCCCAGAACACACTGTCAATATCACCGAGCACAAACTTGAAGCGTGGAAGTGCTGACTGAAATCGGACCACTCACCATCAAATTACCACCTCCTTTCGAGCCATGGTTCATTTCTTGAGTGGACGGAGGTTCAACAATGTGAATGAGGTTTGAAACGGGTGTTGGGATTTTTTTTTGCCTTTAAACCAGTCAAATAGTATAAGCTTTGAATTGAGCCTCTGAAACATCGATGGCAACATACAATATAATGGGATATATTTTGATGACTAAACGCTTTTCCTATGCAATTTATTTGAACTATTAATTAAAGATTGAAATACGAACAAACATTTAACACAACCTAATGTCTGTGTATTTTCATGAAAGCAATGCCCATCAGGTCATAGCTCCCTTAGTATCATCATTACTTATGTGTTGTATCTATTCAAGGAGTTGGTGATCATGGTTCTCCACATCTTCATATCACTATAAGCTTCATGTGGTAGCAAGGCTTCTGATCAGAAGAGTGGAGATTTTGAAGAGCGTAGAATGACTTCTTAATTGCTTTTCTTCCCAGATCCACCCTGACCCGTGGTGGTAGCACCTGTTAGGGTCCTTACTATGGGCAAATAGTGAACACCCAAAACAAAACACTATGACAGTATAAAAATACATTTTTATATTAAAAATATGACCAACAATATCTATTTATAGTAGAATAACCAACAATATATTTTATCTGTAGTTGAAGGCATTTTTCTAGCCTTCCTCAACTCTACATCTATAGTTACATCTAAATGTATTTCTTTGGAATGGTCACGCTCAATGAAAATTATCACAAGATTATTTGGTTCTGTTTGACTCGATACTGAACTAAGATAACTCTGGATTAACTCTGGATTAACGATACTGAACTAAGATAACTCTGGATTAACTCTGGATTAACGATACTGAACTAAGATAACTCTGGATTAACTCTGGATTAACGATACTGAACTAAGATAACTCTGGATTAACTCTGGATTAACGATACTGAACTAAGATAACTCTGGATTAACTCTGGATTAACGATACTGAACTAAGATAACTCTGGATTAACTCTGGATTAACGATACTGAACTAAGATAACTCTGGATTAACGTTCAGTTTTTGTTGTATTTTTTCTTAAAACCTGTTTTATTCTTAGTGACTTGATACACAACTTTGGATCCAACAAAACTCGAAGACTAAGGACGTGTTCTTAGAGAAAGGGAGCGAGAGGAGAAGAAAAATCTGGGGTGGAGATGATGTTGTAGTATCTGTTCCGTGCCAGGGTCTCCCCGCAAATCCCCGCTGCTTGGATGGATCTGTTCCGTATCGTGGTTTCTGACTCCCCATAAGCTGTATCCCTTACTCTGTAACGCTCTACCTCGAGTGGCCATCAGGCCTTGTACATGGTGAACATCACCATAAAAAATACATAAACGAACTGAAGGTTGACCAAAGTTCGTAAAAATTGCGGAAAATACTTTTAAAACTAAAGCTATGAATTTATATGAATAAAAGAAAAAATGAGCTAGCTCGCCAAGATCGAACCCATGAAACACTTTATCACAGCTATCCTACTTAGGTGAGTGCATGAAGTTTTTTTTTTTCTAATGGGATGTTGATAACAACAGAAAATGATGTTTAAAACAAACAAACAAAACTCTTGTACCTTTGTTAAAATTTTTCTAAGGACAATACGACAACAAAAAATGACCCTGTCGTCAGCGGTCAAGCAAAGAATGCGATATAGTATCTAATATTTAAAACATTTCGGGCAGATAACCTAAAAAAGAAATATATATATATTTAAATTTTCCTGATAAGGTGCTGTCATTAAGAAGGACATCACGTGAACACATCGTGCATAATTTTGGGAGGTGTGAGGTGGGGGTTGAAGTTACTTTCTTCTTTATCGGCTTTCTTTGAATATGGCATAATCTAAATATTTATCATTCCTCTAGGATTAAAGTCACACCTGCCCAAGCATGTATAAAACCCACATAAAGAAAGTCCATTGAATTTGCAGACGATCTGTTTTGGTTTTGTTCTGAAATATGCAGACAAAAATGTCTGACAGGGTTCCTGAACATAAATGATTTTTATACACGCCATTAGAGTGTTAACATAATTTCAATGTTGCTTCGTTTTATTTTATTCAATAAAATGTTTAATTAGGAATACATTTGAATTTAATAAAACAAAAAAATCTTCTATATTTGTTATGTTGTCTGAAGAAGTTGAAAAGCCCGACATGGTGTAAAAGCATCACGACCACATGACAGATCTTTTAGGGGGGGGGAAGAAAAGAAAGCAACGCCGTGAGTGAGTAAAGAAAGATACTGCGGAATTAAAGAGCTTTCTTTTAATCATCTGAGAGACCTATGTCTACCTTCCACAAGGATAAACCGTATGTAACTATAAAAGTGGACAATGATGTCAACACCAAACGGCGATAGTC